GGGCATGAGAGTGCCCGTCCAGAGGACATGAATAGCCGGGAGGCTGCTCCCTGCCTGGCGTCCCAGAGATGCAGAATGGGGAGGGTACTGCCGGGTGGGGACTGCCCTGAGCACTGTCACCGGAGAGGTTCCAGAGCTGACATCGCACCCGCTTCAGTTTTGCAGGATTGCTCTCCTGTGCATTGTTGCATTTTCATTCTGTCACTGTTCATTTGCTCACCTGCTCCACAGAAGTTTATGAAGCTGGGGCTAGGATTGATCTTTCTTTGAGGCAAAGTGATCTTTATAATATATATATATAGGTTGGGTTTTTTCCCATGAAAAAAATGCTTGCCACAGAACTCCTTGCATCTATTAGGGGAATGTAATATATACGTATCTTGCATATACGTATATAGATATGTATGGTAAACATCAAAAGAAACCCCATAGCTTGCAAACATTTTTGCTGTTGTATAACATAGAAGCAGAATGTCTCAAAGATTCTGCTCCAGGAGTGGTTGCACCTTTCAACTCTTTTCACACAGCATGGGAAATCCTTACCAAACACCTTCTGGGCAAAAAAGGTCCATGTCTTCTGTAAGGAGACTGGCCAGAAAGGTGCTTCTGTTTCAGCAATGTTGTACCCTAGCAAATGGTCTTCTAAAAATTGACGTCTTATCCATTTGGCAAAGGTATTTTCCCATTTGTTAATGGATATTAGAGTGAATGAATATGCAATATAATATTTATAGGGTAGGAAAACCCACCTTCTCTATAAAAATTAAGTTGGAAACCTTGAGAGCAGTTTGCAACCTTGATGCTTCCAAGGCTTGCTGTAAATACTACGGGAACAGTGTTCTGCTGTGGTGTTTCAACACTTCTCTTTTCAGTTTTGTTGGGGAAGGTGACAAGCAAAAAAGAATTGTATAAATGTTTTAAAATGTTTAAAATATATAGTACAGGCTTGGTTCATTGCATGATAAAAACCTGTTTTGGATTCAGTGGGAGAAGAGCTTAACTTCTGCCCCAAAATCCCATTTTTCGTACATGTATCGCTTGGAAAATCTTACTCAGAAACTTCAGTTTGCAAAAGTTAATTAAGACTTCAGCATCATAATACCATCACAAGGCCTGCTGCTCTCTTGTCTTTGCAAAAGTTATAGAACTAATGAGGTATAAAAGCAGATTAACTACTAATCCAAGGTATATGCTGAATTACCCCCTTAAAGTAACCAGCTCAAATAATCAAGCACCTCATTTAGTTAAGAACAGAAGTATGCAACTCCAAATCTACTTCAGAAATATATTTTGACCAATTCAGAAACCAACAACATCTTGCACAGAATTAATCTTGGGCTTAAAACTCTATAAGAATAATGTATAATAGAAATAATCTCTTTTCTCACTCTTCCCAACCAGGAACAGAGAAGCACACACTTGTTTTTCATAGAGACAAACAGTTTAGGATCTTGGCCAGTAAAAGCTGAGCAGGACTTCTCTCCTTTGTGGAGGAAAAACAACAATGCAAAAGGGAGTGGAGACTGTAAGCACTGGTTTCTGAAGAACACAGGCAGTTGATGGATTTTGTACAGAAGAGTGTGCTTGGGAAAACAAGAATCTCTTCGTAGTTCTTTTTTACTGCTGCAATTTGAGCAACTGGAGTAGTTCATTCTGCATCCCTCACGGATACCTTTGTATATGACTCAGACAATACAATTTTAAGAGACTTTTACAGATTAGGGTCTTTCTTTTTTAACTTGCAAAATGAGTTTCACTACTAAATGGCTGGTAAATTCACACCGTTTAAAAATATACAACAGAGTTCAGTTTTTCATTTTAGATTTGTGGTTCATCTTTCTTTTTGGAGCACTGGAGCAGCACTGCGTCTTGTGATGGTCCTTGACTAGCTTCTAGGCTAGTGCATTTGCATATCAATCCTAAAACATGACGAGTGATGTCTGAAATCTGGGGTAGTGATCCTACCAAACTACATAAAAGAAAGGTTCAACTCAAGTTTCGATCACCGATGGCTATGTAATTAAAAACCCAACTGGACACAAAAGCATGATGCAGTACGTCGTGCATGTTTGTGGTCCAGCCCTTAGGAAGAGACAAAATGTGTGGCTTTCAGTTTTTTTGAAATGAGGTGATTTCTGCCTGGGCCCATAAGATGATATGTTCACTGGAGGGGGTTATTTCATGTGTATCAATCAGGAGGGACCTGTGAGGGAGGGTGCAAAAGTACAACTACAAGTAGTGCGTGTTTTCACAATATGTCCTTGTTTTCCCCTTGCGGTGGCTTCCTGGGCATTTTATTCCTTGGGTTATGGTGCTTTTGATTTTCAGCAGTGAGTGAATGTTACACCGGTTCCTTATGTGTATGCACAAGCAAGTTCTGCCTGGTGGCTTGTCACTTGCTCTCAAGGTGGCAAACAAGCTTTTTATTCCCAAGCAAACTCTGTCAGTGCTGGATGAAAAAGGTAATATACGGGAAATTAGTTCAACTGAAAAGCAAAGTTCTGCCAAGGGGAAAATTTTCACGCTGAAAGTCTGTCACAAAATATGAGTTATTACGATGGGTGAATTTACAAATTGCTGTCAAACCAGTGCTGAATGATGTTAATATGGCTGTTTAGGGCAGTGTGCATTTAATTATTAAGTGTTATGATACAATGCCATTATTTCTTCTGGGTTTATTTACTTTTATTTCATGTGCTTCTGCTTTTGGGATTTTCAGGGAGCTATGTCAATAGAAAGCCTTCTCCTTTGAATGTAGAGCTGAAGAATTTTGTCTATGTCAAATTCACCATGAGACCATGCTACTATTGCTACAAAAAAAAAAAAAAAGTACATGTAAACCAGTATCGGTTTCTTGTGGGTAAACCATTACAGAACAATGTGTGAAGATTAGTTAGAGTAACTTTAACGCCCTTCAAAACATCCGTCTGAGGGACTGAATGATGCTAGTGTTTTAGCTAGTGAAAGCTTAGATTGAAATTCATTCAATTAAAAACACTGAGAATTCAGTGCAATTCAATGCAATGAACTTCAGACTATGCATATGGGGAGGAGAGCACATTATCTTCTGGAATTGCCATGGGTTCTCCAAGATTCTGAATGGCAGTTTTACCTCTCACTCACGGGATAGCCCTGCCAGGCTCACACTGACAGCCTGGAGTTCTGATTTTTTTCAGCAAGACCAAAGAACACCAATTCCAATACCAGCCTTTTACTCGCTTCCCTTGCGTGCCTGATTTTCTTAGGTGAGGGAATTTCAGATAATGTATAAAATGGTAGATTTTTGCAATATCACCGTCTGGGGAGCTTGACCTGTATGCTGTGGTAGTTCAGACTCTTAGCAGTAAGTTCCCTGTATTTGTACGCTAAATAAAAACTGTAATTTCTCATCACTCTTTCTGACCCTCGAGTGGTGGAAACAATCTGTTCTCACTGAGAAACACTGAAGCTGTATGGAACTGGAGCAAATATAAATATGGATTTATGTTATAAATCTGTGGAATATTTTGAGAGAAAATTATTTTTGAGGAAAGTCAAGTTTGTTAGATGGCCAGAACGCCGGCATTTCTGAATCAACAAAAGGACAATGCTTTGGAAAAGAGGGTACGCGGTTCAGTGATGAATGGAAAACAACAGTTAGAAATCAAAACCTGTACATACTAATCGGGAAATGGAAAAACTAGGTAGACTATGTTAGAATTAGTATAAACTCAATAAGGAATTTAAGACCTTCAGGGCAAATCGGTGGCTAGAAAAGCTGTAGGGCGCTGTAGAGTTGAAGGGTGTCTCTAAGCTGGCGAGTGCAGGTCCCCACGGCAGGTGGGTCAGGTCCCCTGCAGCACCTGGCTGCCCGGGGCTCCTGGCCTGCGGCTGGTGTTTGTGGGGCCACCTGCGGTGCCGTCCTCCAGCCCTCCTCAGTGCCCGTCGGTGGCACAGGCCAGGCCACAGCAATGACTCGGCAGAGATGGTGTAATCATTGCTAACGACAGGATTGCTAATAAGAAGTAGCGTTCCGTCCTTAGGCATGCAGGTTAGCACGGCAATAGGGGAGAACAGAGAAAGCAAGCAACAGTGCTGTGGCACATCTTAGGAGAGGTACCTCTTAGTGTAGCACTGAGTAATTTCCTTCTGTTGACATAAATTCAGAGGAAATTTTCAGCCAAATAAGTCTTCTCCTTTGTAGCTGAACAGAGAGCCTGTGGTAAATAAACAGTTTTATTGATTCAATGCCCAGACTGGTAAGTCTAAAGGCAGGAAATTTGGGGTCAAACTGACATTTTCAACAAAATTAAAAAATATTCCTTCTTCCTGCACATTTTGTTCTGAGTCCCTCTATTTTTTTTTTTCTATTCAAAGTGCTAATTAGTTTCTATATCTTTTGAAAGCCATTTAAAATTAACTTAAATACAAAAAAAAGTTTAAAACATAGATCTTTTTTCTTTTTGAAATTGCTGAGTTGAAGTATTACTGACCCCTTCAAAGTTTTCATGTCAGGTTTTGGCCGAATTTATCCAAGTGTCACAAAGACACTGTGTATAGCTACAGTGTCGGGCAGGGCTGACAGGACTCTTGGAGATCTAAACAGGTGAAGCCAGAGTAGATGCACTTACCTCTGAGTATTACTCGAGTGAAACAATAGTGTAATGTTACATACAGGGCTGATATAGACAGGTTCAAAATGGTCCTGAAAAACTGTTGAGGTGGTGCAAAGTGCCAGAAAGATTATTCATGGAGTGTAGAGGTCATGCGTAATGTGGAAGCTGCTTTCAAAAATTATGTCTGCATTAAAAGTCGTATGTAAACAATATTTTTGCTTTGTCTTCTGCTATGTACTGCCTTGAAATGCTCAGACTCTCATGCTGCAAATGTAGGCTTTCCACAGCATTAACAGGATTTGGTGCATGTATTTCTTCAGTGGTTCTGATGACTGAACTAGCTTGCTCATTAACCGTTGGACAGCTCATTAATTTTTCAACGAACTTTTTTTCCTTGCCTTCTAGGTTTATGATGAACGTGACTTGGGAAGGTAAAGATTTGTCCTTCACAGCAGATGGTTATCAGGCACACCCCAGGCTGGTGGTGATAGTACTGAACAACGATCGCGAATGGGAAAAGGTGAGCGTTACCTCTGGGTAAAAGACGTGAGAGGAGGTAGGAGAGACTTGGTAGAACCCTATTAATGAGAAGTAGACAGATTAACGTCACAGATGTCAATGATGATATTCTACTGTAGCAGGTTTGTCACAACAGTTCAGAAAAGATAATTTTACCTATTCTGGGTAGGTCTAAGGAGTTTTAACAGGGAAAGCAACACATCAGTGAAGATCTGCTACATGGATTTCAGAAGATTTCTGTGAAACACACCTTGCATTTCTTCTTACAGTTTTGTAAAACAAAATGGATATACAAAAATCCTCTGTGTCTTATTATCAGGGTTAATCATATATGCAAGTAATAAAAGAAAAGTGTTATCATGAGCATTTTTTCTTTAAAACTCTCACCTCATCCTGCAATTATTTTGGCTCTGAGTTTTGAAGGGTATCTGTGGTCCCGTATTTTAAAAACAGGGGACCTTAGAAACTGTTTGCAATATGAGACTATAGGAAAAAAGACATGTGTATCATCCGCCAGTTTTATTTTAAATTCATAAAGCATGATCCTGCATTACCTAAATTGCTGCTGAAATCGATGAGCTCTTTTCTTATAGTTTTAGGATCCTATAAAATGAACTTAAAACTCCAGTTTGTAAGACTGCAAGAATCCTCATGATGTTGAATAATAATGACAAAATAAGAATTACTGAAGGACATCTCAATAAATATGCTAGTCATGCAGAAGCAGAGAGAGTAGTCCTAGATTATGCTATGTATTTCTTTGTTCATTTGATGCAAATTTAATTCTCTGGATAAATTTAATCCTATCCAAATGTGTCAGTCTGAATCTTTGGAGGAATCTTTTGCTCGGTAATCATTATGAAAATTTCTTACCCTATTTTAAAATTCTTCAACAGTCGGCATATCATACATAATGTTCTGGAAAAAATATTATACTACTTAGGGAATATTAGTATGAGGCACCAAAGGGAGAAAGTGGTTAGAGAGGCAGCCAACAATGCTTATGGTATAATAATTTCATCTATTTTGTACCTTGAAACTTCTCTAACGAGATCATTTAAAGGACAAGGAGAGATTGTTTTGATGCTTTTGAAAACTGAGCTAACAGCAAAGAAATACTGGATCTATGAACTGACATTATTTCCAAGAAATAACTTGAGCCTGTTTTAACCTTCAGGTGACTCCCCTGTCAGTGAATGGCAGGTTTGGTGCAGGTTTTGCTGTGTGTAACTGTGCACGGTGTACGGCAGCAGTGCGCGCTCCCCCTGCTGCGCTGGGCTACAAGGCTCTGTAGGCTGACGCTTACATTGTCGGTGCACAGTTTTCCATCTGCTAAATCCCTTCCCGCTTGTTGCCGAGGTTGAGGGACTTCTAGGAGGCAAAAAAGAGTGACTGAAGGGAGACTCCTGCCCAGAAACATTTTTATGCATCTGCTCCTAGCTGCCCCTTTGCTTTAGAGCCCTTTTGGTAGCGGGCCAGAGGAGTTACTTCGGTAGAGACAGCCTGCCCCTCGCTGCAGTTTTCATGTCTGCTTCTCTATCGTAGGACTATGGGAAGGGGGCCAGGTTTAATTATGTCAGAGGGAAGAAGTGAAAGGCGGCCAAGAACAGGCTGTCACCACCAGAATTATTCTTCTGACCACAAGCTGATCCCTGCCTCTGTGGATGAAGACAAATAAACTGACTAATCAATTATCCTGGCAAGCTGGATGTAGCTCTCGGCTGTCTCGGGGCACCCCACATTTATATCGGCAGAGCGTCACTGTGCCCTTCAAAATAATAGGACAGTTGCTCTGACTTAGAGACATGAGAAGGCCCTTGCCCACCCCCTGGTTTATTTGAACATCTCTCTAGGGTCGTCTCGACACTCTTGGCAAGTTGCATTTCTCACCCCATATCTCTTAGCCGATTTCTTTCTCCGTGTTCTTTTCTCCTTGCACTGTTTTGCTCGATTTCAAAACTGTCAAAATTACTCATCTGAGATTTAACATTTCCTGCTTTCAGTTTCGACAGGCACATGCTTTTGCTTCCAATTACAGTATTGCAATGAGTATCATAAAATTGTTTTGTTGAAGTCTTATTAAATATCGTAAAACCTATATGGAAAACATGAAGTCCTAGAATCTAATTAAATTATTTACTCATGAAAAACTGGCAATGCAACAGCCTGCTAATCCTTGAAATGTAACTAAAGTACATAGATATTGCAGGTAGCCACTTTGTTACTTATGTGAGAAAGTCTAATTGTGGTTTATGTGATGATTTTTTACCGTTTTGTCCTGAAAAAACAAGATTTAATATTAAAACTCAATTTTCTTTGGTTTTAGTATATTAATCTGCTTTTACTTAAATACAGTTTATCCTTGGTCTCAAAATTTATATACTTGACTTGAGGCTCGATGTTATAGAAAATCTATTCAACCGTACTTGAAGAATATACATCTTACCCCTAGGAAAATGAGTTCCTTTTCCTTTACAAATGACTCAGTATCAAAACTTTGAAGTGGTAACCTCGCATATAAATGGGGTTGACTGAGGGATTTGTCCCATATCAGATTTTGAAAAAAAGCTGGTTGGATGATAATAGTTTGAAGACTGAAAATCACTTTTGGGCATGTTCAGCA